AGAAGAGCTGGGTGTGGGTATGAGTGTCTTTTTTTGTTGAACACCTATATATACACTCTATTAGAGCTGTAACAGTATCAAGAAGCGATGAATATTTATGTGTCTATTGTTATCTACATAAAACTGTGCATGGGTATAAATAGAAAGTTTTTTTTCGTTTAATTTAGAAGAAGTCGATGACCATGTAAAGGTCATACCTTCAATAATAGATTGTTTCGTTGCAATAGGATTGTTATCAGTGACTATTATGATCACATCAACGATGAATTTCTTTCTTTATCACTATCTATCGTTGTTTGGCGTCAAATAAAATCACTTAGTATTACACAACCATTGAATTCAACCGATCTTTGTCTTTTTGCAAACGACTAATCTACGTATTCCGGAACTGCATTATAGATCAGAATATGATACTAAACGTTATTTGAAAGAGGAAAATTTAATCTATCTATTCGATAATATTGCTTTGTGCAGAATGCTTATGTCAAATGGCTTACGATAACTCAATCTTTTTCCTGTTTTGTGACAACCAAATTTGGTAAACATTGCCTATTTAATTGTCGAGCTACTTCCTCATTTGCAAGTCATTGTTCTTACTATTAATGGCGAAGATGAATATGATCAACTTTATGAGAAACAATTGAATGATCTGAAAAGTTCAAATACTCATTCTTTATATACTTTTTGTATGATTATAATAAAATGAAACTGCTAATATTTCTTTATTTCTTTGTACTTAGACTTGTTTTGTGAAAGAATCATAAGAAATTTTCAACATGAATAAAGCAAAACTTTTTGAATTTTGTTTCGTAAGTTAAATCAGATGAAAAGATCTTCTGTGTTTGACATTAAATTATACTAATATTCCTTATTAGTTGTACACTAGAATGTATACAAAAATTACTCCTACATGAAAACAATAACATTAATATTTGACCAAAAGATATTTTTTATTATTAATAATCAATTTATTTCCAGTTACATTTTGACACTAAACGCTATTTTAATTCCTCTTCCTTTTATCATCTTGTTCTATTTCCTTTCTCACATATAACTGACCGAAAATAAACAACTTGAAATGTATTCTATTTTTGAATATTCTTACAATAAATAATTATATTATTTCAAATTCATCCTTATATTAATATTTTAAAAGTTAAAACTTATTATAACATTTCATTGTTCAATAACAGTAAAATATTTAAACTAGACCTCCATTCAAACTAAGCACGAGTAGAAAAGACGTCTGACTGCAGAATTTTCATAATCCTCATATATGTTCATAGTTATTTTTTAAAATCTAATTTATCTATATTAATAAATGAAGTTGGACATTGATTGATAACGAATATTAATTGCATATCTCTTTATTAGAACATTATTGTTCTTTTTATTTTGTATATATAGTAAATCTTCGAGACTCTTTCATGGATAAAGTTAATTTATACAAAACGATAATTAACGTGTATATGCATATAAGATGCGAGATATCAATGGTCACTAAAATACTAAGTCATTGATAACTATATAAAGAAATTACCAACTGTTAATTACCATTTATTTTTGTTCTTGCATCTTCCACACGGAGTCAAAGAAAAATGAATTTCAGATGTGCCCTACGCACATTCTCACGAGTTTGACAAGCGTTTTTGTGGGATGTGGGTGAATCTCCTCTTTCTGACCTCACCCAAACTCACCCACACCAAAATCAGTTTTTTCAGTGTAGAAACTCTCAGTTACAGCTGATAGTTTGATGTAAGAAACCTTACAAGCATTTGTCTCATTACCATTTTGATGTAGATAAACATATATGACAAGTTAATCTAAGAAGACAATGAATTTATAAACTGTTCATTGATTGAA